TTTAAAGACTTTTCCAGTGATTTTAGTGTTGCAGACAAATACCTAATGACACAATAAATTCATCACAACGTGAGATAAAAACAGTTCACTTGTCAATTTTAGAAAAATTTTAAATGCTCATAAATCTCATTTTCAGTTTTTTAGTTGCGACAGATTTGTTTTTTAATAAACCTTCCTTTTTAGTTCTTTCCTCCTTTGTCATTTTTTATGATACAAGTATAATAGATTCCCTTTAGATTTTTAACAAACATATTTACCTTCAACTTTTTAACAGCAAGCCACAGTAGCAACAATCCAACTGCAACTTTTCCATAAACGGTATAGTCTAGTTATTATTATAGTGTCTGTTGAAAACGTAAACCTCATTAACTGTAGGATAAGGATCATAAAACTTAGCCTGTGCTGTCTTAAGTCAATGTTTTTCTCATGTTGACATTCCAATAAAATCAAACATCGTAAGTTTTTCCTCTTTTGTGTTTTTGACTTTGTTCATTTCCTTTTAGAGCAAACATTACACACTAACGCAACAGCTTTCTTTTTGTGAATTTCCACCAGGACTATGAGAGGAAATAATCTCAAAAGGAATCTAGTTGTAGTCAAGTCAAGAACCGTGGTCTCTGCTGACTTGAGGCTCATTATCTTTAGATGTGTGGAGGCATCATGAAAAGACAGGAAACAAACTGATGCAATGTGGGTTATCTGAACAGATTACGATAGCAGGAAGTTCAATATGAGCCAGTGTTAAAGCTGCAGCTTTGCCTCACATGTAATTTTAACCCAACTGTGTTGCTGTCATTACAGGACTAGTTTCACTTTACACATATACAAACCCGTGTTATGCAGACTCAGCAATTGATTCAGAATTTGTTTTCACTTTTAACACAAATGCACATTCTGAAATGTGCTTGCTCATGTTTATCCTGACTGTGCATCGGTGTTGCTGTTCGGCTAAAAGACAACTTAGTGCGTACAACTGTAACTGTAATACTCGTTTTAAAATGTGCCCTGGTGCAAAGTTGCCTTGTAATCTCTGAGCAGGTAACACAACATTTTCACCAAAGATCAAACAGATCAAGCTTTTCTGGCCACAAACCCTGAAACCTCAGCAAACATTTAAGCAAGCATTGGTTAGTGGTTGGAGGTCCAATATTGCTGAATGGTTAGAGCATGGGATGAGCACTGTAACAAATACAGGCCTTTTATATATGACAACTTTGTGATAATATATACACGAGTCTGGTCGGTGTCATAATTTATGACGAAGTCTCTCTGAAACAAACAGAAGGGGTAGTGAGGTAGCTTCAAAGAGGCAGCGAAGCAGCAAACTTGCAGGTATGAAGTCACTGAGAATCCTTTACCAAATCATCTGTTTCACAAAGATTATTCGCAAAGCAAAGTATCTTTTCAGCTGCTCCTGTCCTCCACTGTTTTGTTGTACACAGCAACAACGTTAGAGAATGAAGAACACGTTGAAACAAAAACCGCCTTTTTTTGCATCAATCTTTAAATTAGTGTCTTATTAACTTTGCTCAAGGCTGACAGCAACTGTCTCACTGACACCTGAAACATGGGTCTCAAAGGGAACAAGCTTTGTAAGTCGTAATTTTGCAAATTTAGATTATGTATATAAATTAATTCTGATCTACTGAGCCAGTATGGGAAGAAGTATTACACTGGACACTGCATATCAGAAAGCTACTTAACTGGACAGAGAACAGACACATTAATGAAATTCAATGATAGTAAACAAACATTACCATTTCATGTTTGTCTTTTTAAATTATATAAAGCTGCCCTCTCCCAGGTGCTTTAAAAAAAATGTTAATTTATACATTTGTGCTAAATTTTTTAAACTATAGTTATTAAGAAGCAAAAATCATGATTATGGAGGTTGCACTAATCCAGGAGCCTTAGATTAAAGTGCAACACAGCTTGTCCTGATAAGACAACACGCAGACAACAGTAATCCCTGTATTATGCTTCTGTAATGAATCTACGTCGAGTCTACGACTTGGCTTATGCCAGCGGCCGACACCATTGCCAGTATTTAGACCTGTATGAACAGCGTCAATGGCAACATGTTGTTAAATTTCCAGGGAGGTGCATGTTAGGTTATGGGACAAATAAATTTAACACAGAAATATACTGTAAGAGAGCGATCAGTCAAAGCACACAACCAACCAAAACATTGTTCAACAGGGACAGCAGAAATCCAGAGACAAAGATAAAAAAAATAAATAAAACAACCAACCTATGAAAACCTCCCGTTTCCTCTAGATCATCACAAGACCAGATGAGTCGCAGCAAATTCAAGTTTGGTCTAAACTAAAAAGTCATCTTTACTCGAGCTGAAGTAAAAGTTTCAGGGAGACAAAAACTGCTGCAATGAAGCACTTATTCACAGCCATAAACAGATTTTAGACCTTCATACAGACCTTTCACACGGGCACCGGCACTTTTTCCACTTTAACATTTCATCTACTTTCAAATGTACCAGGCACAGTTGGTGAAATGAAATATTCTGTTATATGATTAACCATGCAGTCCAGACACCCAGCTCTTTAGCTTGGGACAGACTGATGAGCAAAGGTTACAGTGCAGAAAAACCAGCCACAGACTCTGCACATGATTATATGATGACACAGACTCATGACTGCTTGCAGGAAGAGTTGTGTTGTTTTGTTTTTAATTTGGGCGAGTGAGATCAAGTTTACAGCGTGTTTACAGCTGCATGAAGAGACATGCTCGTCACCACTGAGGCACTTAGCACAGGCTTACACAGAACGATTATGGGCTGAGATGAGAAATATGTTTGATTATAATGTCTCTTCTGGTTAATTTTAGGTGGGACCAGAGAGGTTAAACTTCCTTTAAAATTGTCCCAGATTAAGCTTAGTTTTAGGGCTCACCCTCTGACTAAATTAGTCCTCAAACAGCAGGGAGAAAATCTGAGCAATCGAGTAAAATAATGTCAAACATGCTGTTGAGTGTGATCAGATAAGAAGTCAGCAGTGAGGGGGAACTAGAAAAAGAAAAAAAGGCTACTCATAAATATATTTATATGTATTATTTTGAGAATGATCTCTTAGAACACTTTCCCAGAAATGTCTCATTAGAGTCACATTATCCTCTAACAAAAAGGCAAAAACAACTGCTTCCTACACAAGAGGAATTCTCTTCCCCTCCCAGATTGATTTTACATTTCACATCAAAAGTATTCACAAAAACGTCTCGAGTGGTGTGCGTCGTAATGGGCAAAGATATCCACCTTTCCGAAGTAAAATCTAAAAACAAATTTTAGCATATTTCTGATTGACATCAACTACTTTTTGGCTTTCCACAAGTTGAAAATTAGCAAACACCAAAACAATATCTGATGTGTCTAAAATCTTTACTCTTAAATCAAAGCTGGTAAATATCTGGTCAATATTTAGGAATACTTTAAACTTTGTAGGTATTTGTAGGGAAGCTGGCATTACCACACCATGAATTTGAAAGAAAAGGAACTGCTGAAATAAGTGACTTCTTTGCAAACTCATCCAGTGGGGCAGTTTTGACACCATTGTTTTGAAGGTTGTGGCTTTTGGGCTGCATGTTTGACAAAACCACTCTAAGGACTAATTAGCTGTCTAATTGGCTGAATTACCTTTAAAGTTTCTAATTATGTTTTCAATCAATATGCTTTGATAAGCACTGGACAATTTGTGAACCAGTAACTCTTGCTCAAAAGCTGTTTATTTCCACACTTCCTCTTTTCTCTGCCCGGCTGGCTGAATGTGCTTGGAGGTGGTTTCAACATTTGTGAACACATTTTTGAACACAAAGCGTTGTTAAATCAGGAAGGAATTTTTAAAATCTTTCCAAGAAGTCTTGCAAAGCACATCTTCAAAAGTGGTAGAGAGCAGGCAAAACCAGGGGCCAAATAAAGTCAGTACCAAGTTTTCAACACAGTTCACAGCTCAATTTAAATGACAAAAAAAGGAAAAACAAAAAAGTTCACATTTGTAGGTTTTTACATCTTGAGACTGAAAGACTTCTACTTTGATTTAAATTTCCACACACAGCCAGAGAGTTCAGGGATTCCTCAGCTTAACAGGTGCTTTTGGACAAGTGACCACACACTAAGCATAGATAAATGAAACTAGATAAAATGTTTTTATTCTCAAGATTTTCATTTCAAAGTTATGTGTCACACATTTAGATGTAATATCTCAAAACAAGCTACAGCAGGAAATCAGTCTTTCAAAACTAGTTCATTCCTAATTATTACTGTAGTGTGTGTATTAATAATGTGTACCTCCTGTCCTAACCTGGAGTAGGTCATTCTTAGCTGACTATGCATATGTGCTTATCGTCATTTCTTGATTTCTATGTTTACTGCTTTTGTACATTTATTTTAATATTTTATAGCTTGCTTTTTTCCCCTTAGTCTCCCCCACCAAAAATAAATAACTAAATAAATCAGGCTAAACCTGATGGGAGCCCCACCCTAAGCCCATTTCTGTTGGAGAAGTCTTCCTGTTAAAAAGAAAAAGAAAAAGAAGTTTGTCCTTCCCACCATAACCAAGTGCTTGCTCACAAGGGGTCATCTGATTGGTGTGCCTTTCTCTCTAATACGGGAGGGTACAATGACAGGACTGCTGCTGTAAACAAGCACTACACAAATGCTGTAAAGAGGGCAAAACTGTTTTAACCCATGCTAAAGACTCTCGATAAGGCAAAAGTGACTTTTACACTGCCTTATGTTGACACAGGAGGGTTGGACCCCGAAGGCAACCCACACCTTCTCCTCTCCACTCCCCTAGCAAGATGTAAACCACAGCTGTATGGGGAAAGCTTTAATTCTAGCCATGCACCAAATCCCCGGTGTCCCAGTTTAAGTGGCAACTGCCTGGAAGAGGAGAGCGACCTACTTCTATCACAAGGAGATGTTCAGTAGAACAAACACGAGCCATAAAATAAACCCGTTATCATCATTAAGCTGCATGTGCGATACATACCCTCTGCAACAAGCTCCTCCACGGTGACTTGGTACCGGCCGACTGAAAACACTTTCCCGAAGTAGCTGCTGACTCCGGAGCTGGAGCTGGACCCGGATGCCCCTCCGAGCCCACCGCTCTCAGACTTTGGCATTCTCGAAAACTTCTTCATCCTTTCCTTTCTCTGTCAGGGCCAACCAAAATGCAATCCCTAATCAGAGGCGAATCGACTCCGCAGTCCAGTTTAACTCGGTCGCGTCCCCTATCTACTTATCAGGACTCTCTTCTTCTCCTGCATGCTCCGCGTCTGTTTCTCCTAGAGGGGCTGCACGACATTTAAAAAGTCCACTTAATAACCACGCGTCATGGTGACACAACCGCGTTCCAAAATCTCGTACCGGCGACAGCGTCAAAAACAAAAACAAAAACTGCCACTTTAGCTTACGCTAGCTAGTTGTGGCAGTTGCTAGCATGCGTGCATGCAGTCAGGACGCTCCGACACAATGAAACGGGGAAGAAGAGCAGCACTGTAGAAGAAGGGCGGAAATAAACTCCTCAACGGAATAAATTCAGCCAACCAGCCCTCCAAAACCAGCCCTGACGTGGTTAGCTTCACGCCCGCCACTTGGTCGCTCTAGTCGGGCGATTCGTCTAGTTAGCTCGCTAGCTTCGGTGGTTAGCGGCTAACGAGCTTCGCTAGCAGCCACAGCGGTTCCTCGAACCGCCCCGAGTGCAGGTGGGCTAACAAAGTACGGGACGGCACCTGTGATACAAGCGGGCGTCGTCTGCTTGTCAGAACCACTCCAGTGAAGCCGTTTTCATCCGGTTCATTTGTGTCATTTTCCTTGAGCTTCTCTAACCGTTAAACTTCTCGTGACTCCTAAACGGCAGGCTTCAAAATAAGTGGGTGGTTTGTTATTTACCCAATGAGAGTGACAACCTAACCCAATGTGGCCCCGCCCCCTTTCATTGTTATGATTGGTGTAAGTGGAGATTGTATGGAAGCCCACTGATGCCAGCAAGAAAGAAAGATTAATGAATGAGGGCATCGAACTAATAAAAAAAGAATCCATCTACCAGTTGACCAAAATTCAAGTATTTTTAATCATTAAAATTATCATATCTAAAATATAATTTTATTTTTCATGAAAAAAAATTTCTTACTTAGTAAATAAAAAATAACTTATGAAAGTATCTTATTTCAGATGCTCCCTTTAAGGGTCACCACCTCAGTTTCCATCTCACCCTATCCCTAGCATTGTCCTCTATCACACCAACCCTCTGCGTGTCCTTCTTCACTACATCCACTGACCTCCTCTGTGGTCTTCCTCCTTTCCACCCACGTATTCAACATTCTTTGTCCAGTTTATCCACTATCCCTCCTCTGCATATGTCCAAACCATCTCAGCCTTCCCACCCACTCAGCCTGAGCATCATGGCACACGTAACTTCAGTCATTCATTTCTCAGTGTAGAGAATTCAGGTACATGAAGCAATGGCATTAGTTAACTAAAACAACATTTTATAAAAGGAGAAAAGATTAGTTAAGTAAAATTTTAAATAATTAAAAAGAAAACAAATTATATATTTAAACCCTCACCCCCAAAAAATAATAAAAATGAAAAATTTAATTATGGTAAGCCCGTTGATTATCCTTTGTGCTTTTGTTGTTAGAAACAAGACAATTTACCAGCAGGTAAAAACCTCTCAAATGAAATGGAATTACATAAAAGTCATAATAAACAATGTGTTTTAAAAAGGAGTTCACTGATGTGTAAAATTGTAGCTTATATAAAAGGGGGAAACAATCTAGAACTATATTTTATATTTACAACACTAACAAATACAAACAATTAAAAATTATAAAATTAATAGGGCTGTCACAAACTCACATTATCATCATCATAAAAAATCTGAATAACAATGGCTTCGATCTCATATTTTCCTTTATTTTTTGTTCATTTCCAAATTAATCATTCTTAAAACAGAAGTATAGAGTGGTGTAGAGTGACCCTGTTACCACCGTGGCGTTTATTCTAACCACTGGTGCCAATGTTTTTAACTGCCCTTGTCCCTGCCCTACCTATATGTATCAAGAATGAAGTCGAATTAGTTAATTTTTCACCTAATGAATGAATAAATTAATTAATCAATAAAAACATTTTGGTGATGTGATACTGGTTGTCACAGTTTAGCATCCAGCTAAGCTATTTTTGACCATCACCTCAAAAATTTAATTTACTAAATATGAATTTTGATAATTTTTAAAATAACTTTGTTAAAGGTAAGAAACTGTTACAACGATTATTATTTATAATTTTTGTTTTCTGCCTGCCTGCCTTCATATCTGCTAATTTGCTTTTCTTGGTAGCAACAGGCTTCCATAATAAGCACCCAGCCAATACTCATCTGTTACTGGGCGGCCTGAGTGACACACTAAGCAGTTTGGTTGAGGAAGGGGAGCACTAAACAGCCTGGAAAGAATGTAGTGCATGGAGAAATAAACAAACCTCAAGCTGAACTGAATTAGTGTGTTATCCTGATCCAGCTTTATTAACTTGCTCATTATTAAAAAGCCTGATTTATCTTCATCTGTGTCTTTCTTCTGCCTACAAAGCATTTTTGGCTATTTTAAAGACATGCTACTTCCTCAGTAAATTGATCTCTTAACAACACTCCCTTACATTTTAATGACCATCAGCAATGGAAAATAACACAAATTTTTCACCACACACTGCCAACAAGGAAGTGGTGTGACAGCTGCCGTGTGCAGGCTTAACAATCCATCACACAGACCTACAGACTTTCATTACTTTACTCCTCAAGACATCTATGTCCTCCGCACATCAGTTTCTAGAGGAAGAAAACATATACCTCTACAGATAAGTGGTCACAATTACCATATTCAGGTCAGCAGTTGTGAGGGGTAGGTGGGGGCAACCCACGGCTGAGATGGGGATTACATAAGAGATAAGGAGGAGCAGAGTGGGATCACATGACTGTATAAACCCCCATGTCTGGACACATCCTGTTTCTGCAGGGGGGAATCTTTCCTCTCTGACACACTTATTGTTGTCTGGTTGTCTGTGCAGTGTATGCTGCCACCTGCTGGTGGTTGAACCATCTTTGGGTGCTGTGTTTGGGTCCTACATAAGAATGACTGGTGCCAGTGTTTTTAACCAAGACTCCTCAGTGGTTAAAAGGAAGCATGTTATAGTCAGAGGATAAAAAAATCATACCATCCAACAGTATAGCTGTATATCTACAGAAAAAAGCTTGTGATATTCTTGAAATTTAAGTGATAAATGTAATAAAAACATTTCTTAAAATATAAGTAAAAGTACATTCCCTGAGATTATAATATCACAAATAGTCCGTCCAGTCTTTTTAAATCATACAGACCTGACTTCAAACACTTTTTACCCCAGTGTTGTTGCTGTCATGAATGAAAATGAAAATTAGCTTGCTTTCTGTGAGCTGAGAGCATTTTTCAGGGGCTTCAATGATGCTCCAATACTGATGCTCATTTAAAAAAATAAATAAAAAATAAAACACAGCTGGAAATGATGGTAATTTTCAGAGGAACACAATGACAATTAGCTAGACTTTGTTTTTAAACTTCGAGGTGACTCCAGATGCTTTTCCTTTCCCATTAATGTTGATCAGACCTCTGGGAACTGAAGTTAGAGTTTCAAGGGGCTTCAGTGACGCTTTAATGGTGATAATAACTGAAAAGTGTAATGACTACTGATGGTTCCTAATGTTCAGAGAAAAGCAATCTGAATTTCTGATTTTATGACAAAGAACATCTGGATATTCTATGAGATTAAAGTGGTCAATAAATGAGAAAAATCTCTACATTAAAAAAAACAAACAAACCCAAAAAATAGATATTCCCTGAAATTACAAAGTTGTTAATTTGCCAGAAAAAAAATCTCAAATTCTGTCCTGTTGTGGAGTCCCAAATGTACAAGTGTAACAACCTGAATATTGTATTAGATGAAAGGTAAATCTGAGCTCATTTAATGTTCTCTGAGTTAGTGAAACCCCAAACTGGACAGAAAAAACAAAGAAATTAAAGAGGAAACTCTTTAAGTGTTAGTGGTTAGTGAGTACTTCATCATGAAATGGCCCATGTCCTGGCAACTTCTCCACACTCTTGAGATTATGCTGAAAGACGCAGCAACCCGTCTGGATCCTGTAGAAGCTGGACTGCCTGTGCAACCTGAATGGGCTACAGGTACCATCTCATGCTATCAGTGGCAACAGGGACCCCCAGTGCTACTCCTCAGCCTCCTAGTAGGCATGTATGGCAATTTCAAAATTCTACATCACCTTGTTCTCAAATTCTTGCATTTGCAAGATTTCCAGAAAACTTAGTCTGACCTTGAGGTCAAGGTCACACTGCCCGCTTGGCAAGGAGACAACCATACATCATCAGCTTTTTACATCTGAGGGCTAAAAACAAACGCTGAGAAGAATCAGTCAGCACAGATAAAGAGAGAATAATGCTGTGTAGCCACCATCTATAAAACCCAGTTGTTGTTGTTGCCTCTCCAGTGCACCTGATGTCACCTTCGTTAGAACCAAAGCAGCAAGTCAATAAGATGTGGTGTGGTATCAAGACTTTGTTGTATCTTTATCCTCTATATTTACTGCAATCCCTGCACTCTAGCTTTCTGATAAGATGCCAAAAAATGTGGTTTGTGTTCCCTGTTTTACTGATAGTGGCAGAAGATAAATGTCTTTGTTCTTCAGGTTAAATAATAAACCACTTTGGACTGTGTTTGAGGGAAAAGTTACAGCAAGTTTTATTTTAGCAAGGCTCAAAAAGAAATAAAAAAGAAAAAATAAATATATAGACATAGACGTGTATATATATATATATATGTGTATAGGAAAAAGTACAGCAAATGCAAATGATCCTAAAATAACTAAGTAGAACAGTCAAAATATGAGTAGAGCAAGTTACAATAATTAACTTGCCCAGTCTTGAGACTCTGAGTAGTCTTCCTTTATGAGCTTGTCCCAGTACATGTCCATTACAGCATTTGGCAGCAGCTCTTCATCGTTCACCAAATGGATGATCTTGATCTTCATGTGATGGTTCAAGTTGTCTGTTCCTGCGTAATTAAAAGACAATACAATAAAAGAACTACAATATAACTTAATAATGCTGTGACAGACTGATACCTAGGCTTTATCAGCTGCCTTTGTGCCCTCTTTGTTTGTTTGAGTAGCCTTAAAAGAAATGTCATAGTAGTGTTTTCAAGGATTTTCCAAAGTGGCGAACAGTTTACAAAGTGCTCCTCTGTAAATCCTTTATTTACTGAATACCTTTTGGCAAACAAATAAAGAAGAAATAGTCAGCAGTTTCTCCAATAAGTCAGACCGCGGTCTTGGACCGCAGCTGCCGATGGCAGTGTTTTTTTGGTTTGCAGCATTGCCACATGAACTAGTTGTCCACCTGCTGCAGGGACCTGACTGTAAACATGAGGCAGGAAGTGTTGGATCAGATGTAGGGGCTACACTTGTCAGCAGACATGAACATACCAGTAGTTATCAGCTCTTTAGAAGAACTGCCTGTGCGGTTTTCCTCAAGACACCTTTGTGGTGTGTTTTCATCACCCTCCATGTTCAGTAAGTAAAAAGACAAAGATCTGCCTCTGAATGTCACCTGGGGAAATTATAGAAAATGTTCAGAGTTCACAAATATCTAACCAGTAAAATCCATGTCTAGAAATTAGCATTTGTAGGATATGTGGAACCTGAGTTTTCAACACCGCTCTACAACAAACACTATATAATTTATAGCCTACAAAGGAAAAATAAGTCTACATCCAGCGAAATTTTATGTGTGATAATAACAGTATTTCTTAACCATATATGTGAAGAAAATTTTAATTTTTCTTTCAACAAGTTGAATTTATTTAATC